CATTCAGATTTCACATGGAAGTTTCACATTTCACATGGAAGTTTAAATGCTTTTCCATGAAGAAGGCTCCACTTATACAGAACTTACTATTTTTTTCCAATTTTCTCTCTCCTAGTATCACTATTGCTTGAAGATGCTCTCAGAATTATTAATTTCTCTCTCCCTTTATGTTTTAAGAAAGCTGATGATATTCTGATTTCTGTTCTTCCCTCAATGGTTTATTTCATATGTTTTTCTCCTTCCTTTCTGTTTTTGTACTGATTGCTAATAACCCCCACAATCCGCATTATGAGTGGAAAGAAAGGAAGGAAAAAATGCACACTTGGCTCCAAATCTATTACATGGTGGTTTTCTCCTTTGGAGCACATCCAAGCATACAATTCTTCCTACACATAGTCTACAGAAGTAGTTAAGTAACCGTTTTTACAAATCAAATCTACTAAAAATATAAATTGTGCACTATAAAAATCTGAGTGACTATCAGTGATAATTTAATTTTAAAATGTACTACTATTTTGGTAACCTGCACATTTCTTACAGCTTAATGATGTCGGATACACTGTGCTTATGGCTCAAATCTTTTAAAAATATTATTTTAAGTTTTGAGAAACAAGATTTGAACAGTATAACTTGTACAATAATTCATTCACACAATAGAAACTGAGAGAGGCTGAGAGAAAAAGAGAGATTCATTAGTTATCTGAACATCGGAAAGCCCCTAGGCTAAAATACAAACTGTTCTGTATTATTTTGGATGTCTTGAAGGAGTTCCAGAATACACCAATTAATCAGAGATGACTTTTTAATTTCCTATGACATATTGCAATAAATAAAATTATTAAAGGGAATCTAATCCATCTGGCGTGCAGAGGTCACGATTTAATTAGGATTTATATATCGGAAATTAAACTGAGAGTGGAAGAAATGCTGAAAAGTGACAGAAAACTTTGATTACACAGTTCCAGCTATTAATATTTCCTTATTTCTTGCTCCTATACCTTAATGAAGTAATCATTCTGAAGCAGATCAGAACAAAGTTTGTTTACTTTGTTTTCCATACTTCTGACTTCTAACTTTCAGGGCAGGTTTAAAAGTGAGTATGTCAAGATCCAGTTAAAACAAGTTTGATCTGCTGCTAAATATTCTGAACTTTTCTTCTAGCATTAAGAAATCAACACAGTAACTGGTAATGCTAAATTAATCAAACAGTCACTGCTGGGAGGTTCGGCAAAGAAAGTTCTTAAAAGCTCTTGCCTAAACTTCACCTTGTGATTACACAATCTTAAGTGACAATACAAGATTTAGCTTCTTCCCACTAGGAAAGGCAGTTGTTGACACCAACTTGTGTGGTCAAAAGAGGAATGGTATGACCTCAGAAACAAGACAGTTTTCTGTGTAATCTGAGGTGGCTATAACGAACACGTGGAGTGGATGTCCCCTTACATGGAACAGCATAAGGGTTAGTTGTTTTTTCCTCCACTCTGTGCATACAGAGTATATGTGGTAAGTGTGACGTTCCCTTACTTTGGTGCATCAGAAGTCCACATAGTGAAGTTAATTATGCAAGTCTTGAAACATGTGAGGGGTTACACCTGCATCTCTATCTCACATACTCACTATAATTAAAGCCAATAATTAAATTGCTCAGACCCTGGACGGTTTCCAGTTATACAAATTCTAGCAAATGTTCAAGCATCAACTAGCAACTGTCACAGTTACCCTAACTTGATCTTTCAAAATCTAGTTTTTAAAAAATTGCACAGTTCTCAAAAGCTAAAGAAATGAAAATTTGTTAAGTCTGTAGGAAAACTAAATTCCATAAGCAGGAACAGCCTGACAGAATGAAATGTAAGAAACTGTCCTTGACAAAGAAACACAACTAGCTAACTCCGACTCATAGTCCAAAATAGTTTGCACTGGTATCGTGTATCCACAGAAATGGAAGCACTGTGTGAACTGTAGTCCTGATTTGCCTGGAGGGGAGCTTCGCCTATTTGGTGGGATGCGGGCCTGTTCCAAAAAAAGGCCACAACAAGATAAAAAAAAGTAAACTCCAAGGCAAGTAGAGTGCGACAACCCATTTTTTTGTTCCTTAGGGAGTAAGATAAACCTTACAAATGAACTTTTATTTCAATCATTCTTGTATTATTGTCCTTACTGTACTTTTTCTGTAAGACATCTCAACTGTATGTGGAAAAATGGAATATAAATATTATAAATGCACAGACAGCTGGTCAACAGAATCAGAAAACATGTAAGATAAATTTCCAGTGATTGGTTCACCAAAATACAATCAGAAGGGAAGAAAGGACCTTTCAGTGAAGACAATTTTTCTTTGGAGTTCTCTCAGATATTCCAACAACAACAATAGCTGAAATCAAATTCGGATTTTGGTAAGGAAAAAAAAAGGGGGGGGGGGTTGTATTAGCGCAAAGAGCTGAAATGGGGGAATGAATACAAGTAAACAATGTTGAAATTAAACAGCTGTCAAAATCAATGGATATTCTGAAAGGAAACAAGTGATTGAATTCACACAAAAGATGTCCAGTAATACAGAAAATCATAATGTGCTGTAAATGATGGAGAAATATATAATCGTAGCTATTATTTATTGCCATAGATGTCAAATGAAAAATCCACAAAATTTCTCTCGGTATATATTTAAATACAGAATCAATATCATGTCTCCTAGAATATGGCAGAACTCTCTCAAAGATGATGAAGGTGGAGGATTTATGTTAAGTATTAGCTTCATATATTCTGTAAAAGGTATCTTTTTCTCAAGACAAAAATCTAGCACTCAGAAGTCTGCTCCTACAAACAGGATTCTCTCCATGTTCAGGAAAAGGCTAGTATTTGGCTCTACTTTGTTTGAACTATTAAAGAATGAACAATGGATCCTGATTAGACATGTTATGCAGCCTCGCACTTGATCCCATGCCCTCTTCTCACACTTACAGCGCTGCACTTCTCCAAGTCCCAGTTCAATTGCTTGCCCCACTGGTAATGAGCACTGTTTTTGTTAGTTGTTGTTTCATGCTTATGTGTTTAATTTAATTGTATTTTTAAATTCTTTTCACTTTATGTTCTGTTTTTAGGCATGTTGTGCAGTGTGTAAGTTGTCCCGAGTCTCTTTGGAGAGATAGTGGCAGGATACAAGAATGAAGTCACATAATTGCAAAACATATAATTTTCTAAAAGATAGGAATATAACACAGAACTTGATTTGGGAATACTTGAAAAATTGTAAACCCTATAACAAAATATGAGTACATTAGGAAATCCATGCTGGGTTTTATAAGAATAGTTAAAATGCCTCTTTTATATCTTTTAGAGCATTCCTACAAACTTGCCTGCCCAGTGCCCTCTTAACCCTAAGCAGCATAACAATAGATCTTGTGGATGCGAAGTTGCTTTACAAATCTGCAAGGCCTTCTGATTAGACAAAGTATTTTCACACGTTTAGCACTTTTCATTGAGCAAATGTTGAAAGTATGATTTCCCTAACAGAAAAGCATGGGGAAAAGATGATGCTGGTGAACAGAAATTTACAAAAAAATTACAAATAATTATCAATTGCAGGGGTAAGCATAAAAGATTAAGGTGACAGCGTAGCTTGCATCCATTTTGGTGGTATTTACAACTTTAAGGAATTACAACCTGACATACAAATGTTAAAATAACTTTGTAATAAAAATTCATATAATCCTGGAACACCACATCGCTGCCAGGAAGCTGTATGGCCCCACTGGACCATTTACTGCCTCACAGATTGAGGAGTCCCACAGCCTTAGTTCTATGGAGGTTTCAGCATATATCAGTTACATTGTTATATCACTTATACTGTCACTGACACAAGCACTAGAACCCATTGACAAATAAAAACATCTTTTCCTTCTTAAACTTTTTTCATTTGAGTATTTTTGTGACCCCTTGCCGCCAGAATTTTTTACATGACCTAAGATATATGAAATAGCAAAAAATTAAAATAAAAATCAAACATTTACAGATAATAAATCAGCATGTGCAAGTCTTGCTGAACAGGTTCATTTTTCTTTGTATGAAGTACAACTGAAGCATTTTCTTCAGAGTGCATTGTAAACATAGTTGCTAACATTTTCGTGGAAACATCTAAAACAGCCACTAGGTAGCATTCAGAAAACTTTTCCTGTTGCCAAATTTTACGTGACCTCAACATTGAGCTAAGGGTCCATCTGGGGTTGGGACCCACAGTTTAAGAAGAAGTGGTTTATATATACCAGTGGAGTTATTCCTCCTCAGCACTGTAAATTCTAGATGTTACAGTAGAAGAGGCATTGAATTTCTTTGGCAGAAGCTAGGGAATAATTGTTTTTATAAACAATTATGCTTCTGTCTTTCTTCTGGAAAGCTCAAGGCTGCTAAGGAGGATAAACTATAAATTAACAATTTAAGACAACTCTCATAATATAACCATACAGCATTACAATATTAAAACATGAAATCAATTGTACCCATGGCTCTACCCAAAAAGTAGGATCACATCCAAATAATCCACAGCACTGGGCTCACCATGGACCTTTCAAATGAACTAAACAAAGCCAATCATATTTTAATTACAAAAATAATTACCTCAAGCCAAAAGAAAAAGAGGTTTCTGTTGTGTTTTTTAAATGGTTAAATTAACCATTCAATGTTTGTTGCTATCAGGAATGGTCACCTGTGCCTTTTCTTTTAATTATGCCACATAATGAAATTATACAGTTATTCATATTTTTTCACCATTAAAATGTACTTGCATTGCATTACAGAGAATTAGCTTTCTAATCCTCAGGGAAAGACACCACAAAAGTGTCTGAGAAATCATGGTCAAATTAGCTTAATTACTTCTTGTCAACTTGATTAGTTGCTGCTCTTTAATGCAAAAGCTGCCACTTGCAATTAATAGCAGTTGGTATTGGTTCAATTGATTGAGTGTCTACAGTGCATGAAACATGATAGGAAGTTCAGTATTATCTTACAGCAATTCAGTTGAGAAGTCCTGTCCCAGTGGTACATAAATCTGAAGTACCAGAAATTGCTGTATCAGTCCAACTAGAAAGAAACAAAAGAAACATATTAAATACACACCACATTTTTGGTATTTCACGGGAGATGCAAGTATTTTAGTATTTCCCAAACTCTGCAGTACAGGCAGTCCCCATGTTACAAACATCCAACTTACAAATGACTCATAGTTAAGAACAGGGATGAAAAAACAGGAAGCGAGAGAAATTGGAAGGGAAAGTCACTCCCGGAAGAGTTAACATGGGGAAAAGATGTCTCCACTGAAGCTTTCTCACCAATCCTTGTTTCCATGACAAGTTAAATTTTACAACATCTAATTATGACAGGGACAGGTGGTGAAGTGAAATCTTTTGAACAAGGGCACAGATAGCAAGACAAATACCACAGGGGTGTAAGCCCTTCCTTATGCCATCCAAAGCTTGTGTGTGTGTATATATATGCATATATACACACACACATATATAGCTGGAGTTACTCTTAAAAATGTACCTGTTTTGACTTACATACAAATTTGGTCCAGTGAATGAAAATACATCCTGCATTTCAGATATTTACATTACGATTCATAACAGTAGCAAAATTACAGTTATCAAGAAACAACAAAAATAATTTCATGGTTGGGGGTCACCACAACATGAGGAACTGTATTAAGGGGTCACACATTAGGAAGGTTAAGAAACACTGGTTTAAGATATCTACCTGAAACTTTGAAGAGCTTTTGTCGATAAGATAATAGTGGGCTAGATCAACCAGTAGTCTAACTGAGAAAATGGCAGCTTTATTCCTTCCTTTCCTATAAAAAGCGTTTTGATCTTAATTTATACCAACAATTATTTTTCAAGAGCACTCATCAGAGCATCAGGCCCATCAAGTATATTTAACACAGCCTTGAGCAATGCCTCCAATATTTGCTTGCTCTAAAAAGTTTAGAGCTTATTTCAGTGCTTTGGTTTTAAATATGCAGTAATTAGCCTACAGGATAAAACTCTGAATAAATACAAAGTGGTCAGAGTCAGAATGTTTCAATTCACTGTAAATCAAGGGAAATGGTAATTTGAATTTAAGCTGTTTCTAAACACAGAAATTGCAATACTGCCTTAGTAATTAAGTGTTCTCAAATTAAGTCCAAGCACTTTGTTGTAAGCCTGCCAACAAACAATTCAAAGTCCCATTTCTCATAAAAGATGCATTAAATATTTAGAGATCTCAAAATTTTATGTAAGAAATTTAAAATTAATTGAGTCCATAAGCATTAGTGCTGTAGCATACTTTGAAATAGCTCATTTCATATATTGCCAAAGTTAATTTGTGATTACAAAACACTGCTCTAGAATTATTGGTATGTTCCCTTTAACCAAACACATTACATAGCAACTAAATCACACAGCTGAAAAATATAAATCTATAATTTCTATTTAAGTGATGTACAATTTAATTTACAACAGGAAAATTTAAAGTAGCTTCAATCCCATCAATCCTGTGAATTTTAGATACCTTTTCTTCTTATAAAGTTTATATTCATAAATATGGGAATAATACATCATAAAAAGAACAGTTTTAAACTTTAAATTTTGGAATTTAAATTTAAAAATAAATACAGGGCCTCTAAAAATCATAATAACCAAAACAGGGAAAGCCACTCACATATATAATTAGACTTGTACCATGCTACTCTGCTGAAACATCACTTCTGTAAAAGAAGGAATTTAACGTGGTATTCCATATGTCTATTCATAAGTAGAACTCATTTATTTCAATGGGATTTATTTTAAGTGTGTACAGTATGGCCCCCACATACCAGTGATATGTTCTAAGGGCCCCTAATGGGTACCTGACACCATGGATACAGTAAATTGTGTAAAAAAAATACTATACTTTTTGTGCAAGATTAGAAGTTTATTCACTTTGACCAAATAAGATGTCTGAGAAGAGACTCTCCCAAATCAGACATAAAGACAATGTGTACATACAGAGATGCTTATAGAGACTTGGTAGCAATTCAAAAGATTGGACTGCTGGGTGCTTACTGTGCAAATTACGATCTGCATGCCGATTGGTGTAGGTGCACTGCCTGTTGCTGTTGTTGTTGATTGGTTCCCTGGACTGGTGGGAAATTAAATAAATTGTCATTGCTCTGTCTGACGCTTCTAGTTGTTTGCTGTACTTGCCTCCCTTGGGCACTTAAGGGAGGAATGTGGGCAAGGTTTGAAGTGTAATGGCTTTTATGGTTTGGCTGATGGCTTAATCCTTTCAGCCAGAATTTTTACTATACTTGAAGTGGAAGTATACCACAGAATAGCACTGGAGGACCAAGGAAGGCCCACAACCACTTCCATAGCCCACCTTATAGCAGGAGTAGACAATGGGAATGGAAAGAATATACACCAAATGTTTAATTTCCTGGTCAAAAATGGGGTGGGGGTCCTATCACTTGAGTTGCCTGGACAGGAAGAATTATACAGTGGTGACAACTGCATGATTTTCATTCAGCATTCTCAAATCACAAGAGGGGAAGGGATGAGATACCAGAGGACTGAGCAGAGAGATCCACCTGAAAAACCTTTAATGTGAAGATGAAAACAAATAGGCTGGGTCTGGTTAGTTAACAAAATGGGGGCACTTCTATAGTTTGATTTAAGACCTGGATCGAGGCTTTTCTGTACAAAATGCAAAGATTGTTTTATCCCTCATGTGCCCGGAGAGAGATTTCCTCTGAGCCCATTTGAGAAAGGCTTTTCAAGTTGTTTCATATATTTGATGGGTGGAAATTTATTCTGGAGGCTAGACACATGTTTATCACCTTCTCAAAATAACATGTTCTCAGACAAGCTCTCTGCTCAGTTGCCAAGTGGACAAATGCAGCTATCCTAGGTCTGGATAGAGAATGGAACCCTAACTGAGATGTTTGGGTAGGACGGGGAATACTAGAGGTTCCTGGGTAACTAAGACCAACAGATGAGAGAATGATAAGAAATAGGGATCATTTCTTCTTTCATGAGATAATGCAGCATTTGGCTGCATTCTAGCTTTTAAATGAGCCATTTAAAAAGGCTCATTCAGAAATAGTTCTCTTTTGGAGAAAAGAAAGAGGGATTATATCGTTTTCTTTAATTAAATAATCCATTTTTTCCATAAGACAAGTATTTCTAAATCATATTCAATAGTTCATTTTCTGGATATTTCTGAAACACACATGTCCACACAGCCTAGGCAGAAAAAGATGTTAGAAACTGTAAAAATTTGCTGCAAAACATTTTTAAAGATCCCTCTAAATATTGGTGAAATGGCTTTATTTATTGAAGACTACTTCCATATGAAGGTATGCTGTAACTCATTGTTACAGCCACATCTGTTAATGTGACTAACACAAAAAAATATTTAGTGGTACAATAATAAGCAGTGATATGGCTAGTTGATAGGATCACACATCTTCCATCTTTGTTCTCAAAATTCTCATCAGACATTCTAATCACACTAGACAAATAAACACAATATTAATGTTCAATGTTTGCCTTCTTTTATGGTTTATCTGATTCCATGTTTTTATAGTTTATACAGTTTGCAAGGCAACAGAGGTCTGTTTGCAAATAATTTTATCCTTATCCTTAAATTAGCAGTATCATGCATGGTGAAGAATCTGGGGCAACTAGCTTTTCTGTGGTGAATTTCAGAGCACAGGAAAACCAATCTGTTCTTATTAATCAGACATCCAGTGTTCCCCTCCTAGCACCCAGTGTAGATTAGGACTGGAATATAAGTGCAGAAGCTTGGTCCAGACAACATTTCTCCTTCTGAGTTTCATGCGGACAACTATATTAACTAGCAACTTAAGACTACACCTGGTGTTTTTTCTCCTAACTTTGTCCTGAGATGGACGGGTTTCAGCCTTCCCTTTGCAGGCTGAGTACTGAGACCAAATGCACAAGACCTGCACATTAGGAGAACTGATATCTGATATCTCTTCATCAGCAATGGAAAGGGTGATACCAATGAGTGTCCAGATATTAAAGAGAAAGAACAATTATCCAGACATTACAGCAAATTGACTTGGATCTTCATGATGCAAAACTATGATCCCCCCCCTCCCCGCCGCCTGTGGAATTCGCTCCCCAGCGAAATCAGGTCAACAATATCCCTCCTCACCTTCAGGAGGAAATTGAAAATGTGGTTATGGGACCAGGCATTTGGGTAGCTGGCAGATAATTGACAATGGTAATGATGATGATGTTATGGAAAATGGACTATGGACAGGCTTCCGATTGTGTTGTGCTCGCTAAATTTGTTTCTACATAAGGCTATTATTGCACTTTTTATTAATGTACTTTTTATTTTAAAACTAATTTTAAAATTAATCTATTGTATTCTTATATGTAATTACTCTATATATTATTTATATGTAATGGCATTAAATTGTGCCAAATGTAAGCTGCCCAGAGTCCCACCCTGGGGGGGGGGGGTTGAGAAGGGCGGGGTACAAATGCTTGAAATAAATAAATAAATAAATAAATAAATAAAATATATTTTAAAAACTCAATTATTTTCCTTTTAAAAATACATATTTTTACTATCCATTAACTGTGTATTTACTGAGCTAAAAACTGATCACTTGGGAGGCCCTTCAATAAAAATAAAATAGCCCTTTCATACACATCAAATAATAATTTATAGAATAAAATTGTGACAAAAATAAATCTTTACTGTCAGAAGGGTTGGTTATACTCTAAAATGCTCACAAGCTTTATTTCATAAAAGAAGCAAAGAAATATACTTTCTAAATATGCAGCTTAAGAGAACTACCGTAATTAAAACCTCACAACACTGGAAACTCAAGACTATAGTTCTTTTTGCACAGTAAGTGATGAAAGACCATCACAAATGCATATTGCGGTGTTATCTGTCATGTTTGCAGCTCTTATGAGCCTAAATACAGTTGCTTGTTTAAACTAAAAAAGATCAATTGAATCAATCAGATTTACATAAATGTTAACTTACCATGCAATACATGTCTGAATAAGTCTATTATAGTTAGGACAAGAAATTAAATTAGCCGAAACTTGGATGTAGGTTTAACTTGGCAACAAGAAAGGAAAACACTTGGCTTCTTACAAAAGGAACAAATTGCAAAGAGTTGCAATTGTTCCAGGAAGAAGAATCTTTTCATTTTTAAAGGCATGAGGTGTGTGTATGATTTTAACCTACTTTGTGTGTGTGCCATTCTGAACCTACAATAGGTTTAGAATGGCACACACGAAAACTAACATTTAAGTGACATAACAATCTTAAATTCAATTCAATCAAAACAGAAAAAGAGAATGAAATATAGTGCAAATATAATTCCAATAAGTTCTTGTAGAAAATAAAGGTTTTTTTTCTAACATAGGATGAACCTAACATAAAATACAAAAACTAAAACTTTGTATTTGACCAGATAATCAAAACCTGACTACATTCTATGACATACAATAACTACATTATTAATATTATTAATAGTATTAATAATAATTTGTATTGTATTGTATTGCATGTATACACTGTGTATTTGCAATGTGATCGTGAAGTGGCCAAACTAATTTGCCCTGAGTCCCCTTTGGAGTGAGAAGAGCGGGGTAGAAATATAGTAAATAAATAATAGACAGACATATATAAAATAGTCTTTTACTTACGTGTTTGCCTTGTTTCCTTTGGAAGTTGCATCTTATTAGTTTGACTGCTCCCTTCTAGAACAAAGACGAAGCCTTTCACCTCCTTGTCAAACTCCTAGCAAACCAACAAAGGGAACATAATCCTAAAGGCACCCAATATAACAAAACAAATGCATTAACTTACTGCCTATCAAGATTTTTATCTGTCTACAAGCCTACCATAGACAAAAGATAACACATATTTTTATCAACATCCACAGCTTATATACAGGAGTGATTACTATCAGCTTTGATTGATACACCAGCTGGGTCCCTTTCTAGAATCCAAGGGTCTAAAGATGGTATTCCATGTGGCAGGAACCTCAAAGTTGGACTTCTGGGACACACTTTACATTGGGCTGCTTTTGCACCAAGTTTGGAAACTCCAATTAGTTCAAAATGTAGCAACCAGATTGTTGACAGGAACATCCAGAAATGAGCATATCACCCCTATACTAAAGTCACTCCAATTAGTTCCAGGCAAAGTATAAAGTGTTAATTTTGCCCTTTAAAGACCTACATGGTTTGGGCCCAGGTTACCTATAGGATCGCCTTCTTTCGTATACTCTGCCTTTTAAGAAACCGAGGTACTCTGGGGGGTGGCTACTCCAACCAGCTAGAACCCGGCTGCCAACTGTCACCCAGAGGACCTTTTCATCAGCTGCCCCAAGTCTGTAGAATGACCTGCCGGAAGAGATTTGACAGCTAGATCCGTTGTTGGAATTTATGACACAATTGAAGACCAAACAATTCCAGCAGGCCTACCTGGTCAATTGTAAGTGGTGAATTTCAATCTTCATTTTATCAGGAGATTTTATTTTGTATTTTAACTATGTGTACCTTGTTGTATGTCTTTTAATAACTTTTTATCTCTTGTTTTGATTATGTTGTATCTGCCCTTGAGCCACAGGGAGAGGCAGGTAATGCTTTCATTATCATTATGATATTATGTATTATTAAAGAGGATAAATGAAACCTTAGACTTAGATCAGGAATGGTTTTAACAGTGATCCTCTTTTGTGAGTCACTTGTGCAAGGTCAAAGGTGGAATATAAAAATAAATTTCTTTCATAGCTCTGCTTTCTCAAGCTAAAGTACTGTACAGTTCCAAAATACACTCTATATATGGAGTAACTATGTTGGTTAAGTGTCACTAATATTCTGTCAGGATATCATCATCATCTCTTTTACACAAATTAAGCTATCTGACTATATTTTTTGTGCCAGGAGCGACTTGGGAAACTGCAAGTTGTTTCTGGTGTGAGAGAATTGGCAGTCTGCAAGAACAATTTCCAGCGGACACCCAGATGTTTTGATATTTTATTACTTATTTATATTTATGGCACTTTTATCCCACCCTTTTTAGCCTGAAGGCGACTCATCCTTGTGGGAGGCTTCTCTCATGTCTCGATGATGAGATCTAGAAATCTTAAAAGCTTACCTAGTCTGGGACCATTTTGAAATCATCCTAATATAAACATTGCCTGACCAGGGATTACTGACTAGCACAGCTTACTTTGTTTTATATGTTTTTTTATATTCTCTCCCAATCAGATATATCCTTAGAGTCAGGCATGTAGCCAGGGGGGGGGGGGCTCGGGGGCTTCAGCCCCCCCCCCCCCCGAAATTCTCATGGTGTTTCACGAAAAGGCCTTACTGGTGCATTATTTAAACTGTTATGTTTATTCATATCATGATCTGATCACCATACTCAATATATCCCATATACATGGGGGTATTGGGGTAATGATACAAAAGGTTTGCTAGGGTAGACCCTCTTTCACTCAGACTCACCCCCCCCCGAATCGAAACCCCGAACCCCCCCCTGAAAATTTTTTAGCCCCCCCCCCCCCGAAACGAAATCCTGGCTACGGGCCTGCTTAGAGTAGTCCACATACAGCTCTGGACTGTCCTCTACATTATGTAAGGCAGCCATTCTAATATTACGGTGGGTGGGAGGGACGATGCGGAGCTAGAAACATACCTATGCGAACCAGAGCAGACAGGAATCAAAACTGTATTGGAAGTAATTACTTATGTCCATTATATGAAGATACAAAGATTGGATTGGTTGGTCCTTGATTACTATCTACTTGGAACACCAACTGTAGTGTTTCTACTGCTGGAAGAACAAAAACCATCCTGGCTGTGGTTTGGCATGTAAGATAGGGAATGATCATTCTGCTGATGTAACTACTGTCATTCAACTGATGGATTAACTTCATTCAGCAGAAGAGTAATTCACAGCCATAATACCTCAAAACCTATCCTCCAGAGTAGGTTATTAAGTGAGATGAGGGACTCTCGAAGGGAAGAGGAGTTAAAGAAAATTCAGTTGCACTACCTGATGCCCAAAAGAACAACAAAAGGTTTAGCAATCTTTCTAAAAAAATACATTTATGGATGTACTGTACAATAGCATTATCAATTTTGAATCCAGTAGCCATATGTTTGATCTAGCTGTAATAGAAAAGCATAGCTATTCTAAGCTTCCTTCTGTTAGGATTTCTGAGGTATGAAACTATAGCTGTAACAAATCTCGTTTGCAAGTAGGCATGAAGTGCTAACTGCTGTGGTCATTTATTCTTTCATGGTAAAAGAAGTGAAAGTGACAACTTTTCCACAGTCAGGTCAAAGCCCTTATTATGTTCTAATTTTAAGCTTCATGTACATTTTTCATGGTTTATATTCCAAGGTTTCATCATTTCACCATAAAACATACTTTCCCAATTACAGATGGACTGCCGAAAACCTTCCACTTTCTTCCAGGATTCTTGCCTTGAGCACTGAAAATTTCAACAAATGGGCCGCCCTGTAATGAATAAAAAATAATCTGTCCAACTCTCATATGATGACTATTTAATTATAATACCTCATCCCAAGTGTATCCATTGAAAATTCATTCTCAGCATCAACACACAGACTCACTGTAACCTTGATAATCCAGATAACAACACTTCACTAGGAACCATTTTGTTTCCTTTTTCTGGCATACCCTTTCCTGGACAAGATTAACCTGACCATGAGCATTTATATTTTAGTAATTTCCATGTTAACCCTACTATAATGTACTCTACTCAAGGCTGTCCTTGAAAAGTTTTCAGAAACACTTCTCAGAATTGTCCTTGAAAAGTGTATACAAATTTTAATTGATTCAAGGTGTCACTGCCAATATTTTAAGTGGAGTTGGGTGGATAGAGCATATTGCTCTGTAATTATATTATCGTTACTGCTCATCTATTTGTTTAGAGGCCCACTTCAAGGGGCCTCATTGCTAACATTAAAGCCATAAAAGGTCACCTCAAAGTTTATATCCTACCATGCATACTCTCTCATGCAGTCACATTTACACCAGAGCTTTTGCTCTATTCTTTCCTGTCATCTGAGTTGTGTTGGGAGGAGACAGGGTGTTTTTGTTCATGGTATGACTAAGAAACCTTCACCAAAGAAGCCTATTTGATAGCACTATTGCTTTCTATCTGTTATATGGTTAAGCTCTTAATTCACCAGAAAACTTTTGGGATGCCATATACTATTTGGTGGGAGTGCAGTTTTCCAAGGTAGAGTTGACTACTTGTTGCTGCTGCAATTTTCTAGGGGTCTGTTTATATAATGTCATTCATTTTTAATTGTTGATGATATTCAATACCTGTGTCTAGGCACCTGTAAGCATTTTTTCCTTTAAAAAAGCATTTACTTTTCAAGCCATTTGTCAATCAGTGACAATGCCAACATCATGGCACTGAATTAAATCTTAAAAGGAACTAGGAATAAATAAAACAGGTATACTACTGGCCCTGGAGCCCCCGGTGGCACAGTGGGTTAAAGCGCTGAGCTGCTGAGCTTGTTGACCGAAAGGTCATAAGTTTGAATCCGGGGAGTGTCATGAGCTACCGCTGTCAGCCCTAGCTTCTGCCAACCTAGCAGTTCGAAAACGTGCAAATGAGAGTAGATCAATAGGCAGGAAGGTACCGGCGCTCCATGCAGTCATGCCGGCCACATGACCTTGGAGCTGTCTACGAACAACGCTGGCTCTTCGGCTTAGAAATGAAGATGAGCACCAACCCCCAGAGTCGGACACGGCTGGACTTCATGTCAGGGGAAAACCTTTACCTTACTACTGGTCCAGTATGCTCTATAAATCAAGACTCAGGTGTTAAACTTTATCTATAACATTTTGAACTAGCTGATATTTCTATAGGCGCAATCATACTGTAGAATTTATCCAGTTTGGCAACACTTTAACTGCTGTCGTTCAGTGCTATAGAATCAGGGGAGTTGCAGTTTTACAAGTTCTTTAACATTCTCTGTTGTTTGCTGATGCCTTGACAATCAACATCTCCCACGATTTCATAGCACTGAACTTTGAGTGCTGTTAAACAGATGCACCCTTAGATATCAATTTTATAAGTGAACTTGATTTTGAGGAGTGAATAAAAAGCACAATAATATTAATAATAAAATAATAATTATTGCCCATCTCTTCTAACATGGCATTTGTGATTTAATTAGCCACTCTTAGTGGAAGTATTTTAGCATGCATGTCCCAGCACAATAAACCAAACTTCTCAAAATGTCTAACTCATGGCATCCCAAAATGCATAACTAGACTACATCTGCAGTTTACAAGGCAAAATCTTGGCGACAAAACCTATGATGCAGGTTTTAATTTGACATGGCTCAATAGCAATGGAAGTAATTATTTGTTCTGGCACCACACAAAGAAATTCAAAGCACATTTGATTCTTTAGAGCCTGGAGAAAAAATGATTATGGTGTATACAAAATATATAGTTTATAAACATAACAATTTAAAATTCAACAACAAACAGTTAGTAAAATGGTTACCTTCAATATAATAGGAACCACTCACAAACAATGCAAGACCCTGAGTTACACAAATGCAATTGCCAGGTTGCCAAAAACAACCACAAATTACCACCTGAATTGTTTACTCAGTATTAACACACCATTAATACATTCTGTAATCTCTTGTATATTCTGAGTTTGCTAGGGGACTCAGAAGGAAACAGCTCTGGCAATGAATGGCAATCTCGGCCTTCCAAAATTGGGGACTCCTGGTCAAGTCCTCTGAGAAGACTCAGAATGTTATGCAGAAGAAATTGAAATTATTTATTACTAAACTTTAAAAAATCCTCACTTGAATGTTTAAAAATCAATATAAATGTTTTATACCGCCCTGAGTCACCTTCGGGCTGAAATGGGCGGGATAGAAATAATGTAAATAAATAATAAATAAATAAATCCACATTTACTTACAGGGTAATATTTCCAATATTTTGTTCTATTTATTTGTCACATTTATAGAAAATACATAAATCATGAATTTAGAAACACTTTTACCTGATACTCATTTTTGAACATATTGCTAGATGCGCTGGTCAGAAAAATTATTTCAACCGATCAGTAAGCAGTATCATAGTGCTAAAAGTCACAATGGGGAAAAAAATATAAAAACATGAATAAACAAGAATTTCCACAAAAAACTTAAGTAAAATCCAAACTAGAGTATTTATTCAAATATTCATCAGTATTAGCATCTTTCATTTTGCATCTTCCTTTTTCTGGCTGTGCTTGCTAATAAATTCAGCTCACTTGACTTCAATTCATTTGTCCAAACAGATCTTCAGTCTTAAACATCAATCAATTCAGATGAAGGCAATAATTAATTAGAGAGTAATTACACAAGATTTTGACAGTATAGCTAAACATAAAACATCAATGTCTATGTAGAAATTAATAACAAAAAACAAGAAAAATAATATTATAAAGAAAGGAAAATAACCTTGTTGAAATTAAAGCTGTGTAAAAATGAGTTCTTTTTAAAAATAATACCATGGGAATATAAACTGGGGCCAACTTCCTACCTCTATCTGTAGATCCTTTATCCTCCTTTCTCTACTACTTCATCCCCAAGGGGAAAGAAACACCTAATACACACAGTTTCACTCTTGTTATTTTAAAAATTAAAACAATACATTTTCATGATGGGCTACACACATTTCCACTGCAGTTCAAACCTAATGAACTTTGATGGAAATAAAAACCCTCCATTACTATGCAAGAAGCATCTTTTTTTCCCTTATAAATAGTTCTAGAGGAAGGGGGAGAAGACAGCTAGCATTTATCATCTTCAAAAGAATTTCTGTTACTGCTTAGAATTCTATTCAAATACTCAAAATACATATTTTTCTCTCTTGGGAATGGTATAGCAGGCAACAGAAGGAATCAGCCCTTTTAAATATTTGCATGGTTCACCAGAATGCATTACTCCAAAGGACAGATTCATTTTCAGAGAACAGTTGTATAAAACTGCTTTAGTTATATAAAATTGTAAAAAGATCAGTCTGTAACTGATGTTGATGCTCCTTGGACACTTATGAATATGTCTTTCCTTACTGTTATCCAAAAGCTACTTCAGCTGAAGAAACTGTACTTGAATAAAGAAAGTACAGGCAGTCCCCGAGTTACAAATATCTGACTTACAAATAACTCATAGTTAAGAATGGGGGTGTGACAACAGGAAATGAGAGAAATCTACCTCTAGGAAGGGAAATCCACTCCTAAAAGAGTTATCATGGGGGGAAAGTGTGTCTACTGAAGCTTTCTCACCAATTCTTGTTTCCACCACAAGGCAATTTTTTCAAAATTCAATGATCACAGGGACAGAAAGTGAGGTGAAATCTTCTGAATACGGGCAGACAGCAAAACAAACCTCACGGGGTGCTAACACCATCCAAAGCTTTATATATGTGTGTGTGTGTGCTTATGTGTATGTATAAACACACGGCTGGAATTACACTTAAAAACGTACCTGTTCCGACTTACACACAAATTCAACTTAAGACCAAACCTATAGAACCTATCTTGTTGTTCGTAATTTGGGGACTGCCTGTATACTCAAGGCTCGTAGGACTGGAATTTAAGCTGTTTATAGGAAGGCTACAGTTCATCCCTGGTTCACAAATTTATGTTCATCGCTTGACAATTGTGACTTGAAGTGATAAACTGCATGCATAAACATGTTATCACAAAACAAACATCACAAGAAGGATCACCAAGCATTTACTTCAAAATCAAAGATTTTTAATGGAATCAGTTTAGACATCCAGCTATTATTTGTCAAGGGTACAGATCTCAAACATTGAAAAGCCAAGTACTGTGTAGGTAAACCAGGTTATAATACAGTTTCTCTACCATACTGTCAGCAACCTTTAAGTAATAGTTCCTCATCATCTTTTATTTGTATCAATCTTTCCTCATTTTAATATCTATGAGGAATTTTTTATAATGCTTGACTACATCCCAGAATTTACCAACAAGCTTCCTTTTAGCTAGTGAATTAAAAATGTTCACTATTATATTTGAGAGATAAAACTGAGCTTCAAAAAACAAGGTCTTTCAAAGTATTCACACTGTGATCATAATCCATAGTGCATATTTTATGTTACTGATTAATAGTATCTGTTTGTAGAACTGCGAGGTACAGCCTGCCATATTTGCTCCCAAAGCAGAAGTTAGATATATCATCTAGCATTTATTTTAAATTTTTTAAAAATTATGTTACTGCATGTGTTTAAATAGTACTGTAATCTAAAATTTCTTCGTTCTGCAAATGAAACTGTCTTAGCAGTACACTAAGTTGAAAATGAAGCATCTTGTTCTCATTGAAAAGGCAAATCAAATATACCTCACAATAAATATGGTAGCTCCTAAGGGTATTTTCACATTTAAAAATGCTCTTATTCTCAACCAGTCAAAACATAACACAGTACCAGAGAAGACAGAG